AAGGGTAAGCATGCTTTCCACAAATCTGCATAAATAGGAAGTTTTATTTAAAAAGGGGATGGTGATGATGGTGATGATGATGATGATAAGGCAATTATTAAGGTAAAATGCCAGCCGTAGATTGGGAATTATCTAATGTATTGCACTGAGTGTAACATGTGTGACTATCTGCCAACTGGATAGAAGTCATGGGTGAATGCTTGGTGCAAGGAGCTCCTGGTTCTCAGGGGAAAAGTTCACATCCTTGAGGCCAAGGTGGTTGACCTGGAGAAGCAGAGATAGTCAGTTCAGGCGCATGAATAACTCTGGGACTTGTTAGACATGTCCCACTCCGAGAATGGCAGCCCTGCCACTATCAGGGAGCATGATGGTCAAAGGGAACCAGGGCAACGTGCTGATGAAAAGGGGAATATTCCCTCAGAAGGGACCCCTTCTTCAGTTAGTGAACAGGTATCGTTTTGTACCAAGGAATCATCCCTTGGCAGGGAGGGTGTCTCTTGGTAGCTGGTGATTTGATCCTTATCATGTAGATAGATAGCTTGTGAACCTGTGTACTGACCACACGGTGATCTGCTTGCCTGGTGCAAAGGCAGCGGACATTCTGTGTGGTCTAGATAGGCTGATAGACAGTGGTGGGGGAGGAGCCAGTGGTCATGGTACATCTTGGCACCAACTATGTGGGGAAATGTAGTCGTGTGGTCCCAGAGGGAAAAAAATTGTCTGCTAGGAAGGAGACTCTAGGCCAGGACCTCCAAAGTAGCCTTCTCAGAAGTGCTGCCTCTTCCATACACAGGGCCAGCTAGACAGGCATGGATTAAGAGTCTCAGTGTGTGGATGAGACAATGGTGTAGGGAGGAAAGGTTTAAGTTTGTTAGGCACTGGGATGCTTTTTGGAACAAGCAGGACCTATACAAAAGAGATGGCCTCCACTTATCCCAAGAAGGAACCAGGCTGCTGGCACTTAAAATCAAAAAGGTGGCAAAGCAGTTTTGAAACTAGATCTTGGGGGAAAGCCGACAGGAGATGAAATGTCTCTGGTTTGGGATGGCTCATCTCTAAGAGATGAAGGGGTAACTGTTACTGTTCTAGAGGAAAATGGATTAAGAATGGCCACTGAGAGGGTGACAAACGATATTGGCTGCCTGACAAGGTCTAGAGGCCACAGGAGGAAGATCGCAGGGCTAACATGTCTTGAAAATTATAGGTGACAAATGCTAGAAGTGTCAGTGGTAAAATGAGGGAACTAGATTACTTAGTGCCAGAGGAGAACATAGACATTGTGGGCATTTCAGACACTTGGTGCGATGAGGATAATCAGTGGGATACAGTGATTCCTGGATATAAATTATATCAGAAAGATAGGGAAGGAAGGGTTGGAGGTGGAGTGGCTCTGTTTGTCAGAAAGAGCACACAGTCCAGTAAGATTGGAAATGTAAGAGAAATAGATTCACGTGAAGAAATGCTATGTGTGGAAATAGTGGGCCCCAAAGGAAGCTTAACTCTGGGAGTTATCACCCTCCAGATCAAAGGTTAGAGGATGATTTTAAAATAGCAATAGAATTAAGGAAAGCAGCTAGAAGAAATAATTGTTTTGTAATAGGTGATTTTAACAATTCAACTGTAATAACTGATTTTAACTACCCACACATTGATTGGGTCAATATATATTCAAGTCAGGAGAAAGAGATACTCTCAATGACTGTGCCATGGAGCAGATGGTCACTGAACCTACCAGTGGAGAGGCGATCCTGGACTTGGTCCTAAGTAATGCCCAACACCTGGTGAGAGATGTAAATGTGATAGCACCAGTTGGGAACAGTGACCGTACTGTTATTCAGTTTAACATTCATGTAAATAGGGAGTTTCCTGAAAAGACCAACACAGGCCCCGCCACACGGCAGGGAAAACACTGGGCAAAGTACAACTTTTAAAAGTTGCACCAAAAAAGAGACGCCACAGCGGGATCCCATGATCCCCTGAGCCGCGGCGCCATTGCTCCCCGGCACAATCAGATGCCAGGGAGGAAGAGACGAATGGGAGGGGGAAGCTGCCGAACTGTGCATGCTCGAGCATGCGCAGTACAGCCAGGGCCCGGGGATGCGCCGGTGAACAGACGCGCCGGCGATCCCCCGGCCGGCGGTGATGCGGCCTTTCGTAAAGAACCACCTAGGTAGGTGGTTTTTTTTTGCTGCGGGTTTTGGCCGGTAGGGGCAGATTGGGGACGAGTGCAGCACGATTCCCAGATGTTGCTGTGGGATCGCGCCTGTTTGCTGCGGCCCCAATCCGTCCCTTTCCCGGCCCAAAACGGCTCGTATAAACACGGCCACAACCACCTTTCACTTTAAAAGGGGTAACGTCTCTCAAATTTGAGGGGGCTCATGAAGAGGAAACTGAAAGGAATGGTAAGGAGGGTCAGATCTCTTCAGGAAGATTGGAGACTATTTAAAACTACAATCCTAGAAGCTCAGATAAAATGTATACCACAGGTTAGGAAAGGTACAAATAGATATTTAAAAAGGCATGCATGGTTAATGAACAAAGTAATGGACGCTGTAAAAGGTAAGAAAGATTCCTTTAAGCAGTGGAAGGCTATCTGAATGAGGTAAATAAAAGGGACCACGGGCTTTGGCAAATAAAATGCAAGTCAGTGATCAGACAGGCAAAAAGGGACTATGTGGAACATATTGCAAAAATCATAAAGACCAATAATAAAAATGTCTTCAAATACATTAGTAGCAGGAAACCAACCAGAGAGGCAGTGAGACCCTTGGATGACCAAAGAGTAAAAGGATTACTAAAGGATGTTAGGGAAACGTCAGAGAAGCTGAATGATTTTTTCCCTCTGTCTTCACTGTCAAAGATCGGAGGTGCTTGTCCACTCCAGAACTGCTGATTTCAGGAGGAGAACTGAAAGAGCTGAGTTGGATTGAGGTGACTGGAGAGGAGGTCCTATGATTGATGGACCAATTAAAAACTGACAAATCACCAGGCCCAGATAACATACATCCAGGCGTTCTGAAAGAACTCAAATGTGAACTTGAAGATCTCCTGACAAAAATCTATCACTAATTAATAGGCACATTGATGAACAAAAGCTATTAGGTAAGAATCAACATGGATTCTGTAAGGGATGATCTCGTCTCACTAACTTTTTAGAGTTCTTCGAGGGGGTGAACAAGCACGTGAACAAAGGTGACCCAGCAGATGTTGTTTACCTAGACTTCAGAAAGTTTTTGATGAAGTTCCTCATCAAAGTTCGTAGGTAAACTCAGTAGTCATGGGATAAGAGGACAAGTCCTCTTGTGGATCAAAAACTGGTTAACAGGGAACAGAGTGAGTATAAATGGGCAATTTTCACAGTGGAAGGTAATAAGCAGTTGGGTACCACAGGGCTCGGTACTAGGTCTGGTGCTTTTTAACTTGTTCATTAATGATTTGGAGTTGGGAGTAAGCAGTGAAGTGGCTAAGTTTTCAGATGACACTAAGTTGTTCAGGGTGGTGAGAACTAGGGAGGACTGTGAGGCGTTCCAGAGGGATCTGTCGAGGCTGGACTAGTGGGCATCAATGGGGCAAATGTGGTTCAACATGAGCAAATGCAAGATAATACACATTGGAGCAAAAAATCCCAACTATAAATAGACACTGATGGGATCCAAACTGGTGGTAACTGACCAGGAGAGAGATCTTAGAGTCATGGTAGACAACTAACTGAAAATGTCGACTCAATGTGCCACTGCAATAAAAAAGGCAAATGCTATCCTGGGGATTATTAGGAAGGGAACTGAAAACAAATCAGCCAGCTTCATAATGCCCCTGTATTAATCTATGGTGTGGCCTCATTTGGAATACTGTGCATGGTTCTGGTCACCGCACCTCAAAAATGGTTTTATAGCATTGGAAAAGTTGCAAAAAGGGCAACTAAAATGATTAAGGGGATGGAACACTTTCCCTATGAAGAAAGGTTAAAGAGGGCAGGGCTGTTTAACTAGGAGAAATGACAACTGCTACAACCATATAGAGCTTCAAGAGGGGATTGGAGAAACATATGGAGCAGAGCACCATCAGTGGCTATTAGCAGTTACGATGCTGAACTGCAGGCTGGAAGGTCGGTAGTTCAGCAGTTTGAGACCCGAGTGCTGCATGACGGAGTGAGCTCCCGTCTCTGGTTCCAGCTCCTGCCAACCTAGCAGTTCGAAAGCAAGAAATTGCAAGTAGATAAATAAGTACCGCTTCGGTGGGAAGGTAATAGCATTCCATGCGCCTTGGTGTTTAGTCATGCCAGCCACATGACTATGGAAACGTCTTTGGACAGCGCTGACTGGCTTTCGAGCAAGGGAAACCTTTACCTTTATAGATGGAACATTATGCCTGGGGCAGTGATGCTCTGTATTCTTGGTGCTTGGGGGGGGGCACAGTAGGAGGACTTCTGGAGTTTGGCCCCACTGTTGGACCTCCTGATGACGCCTGGGTTTTGGCCACTTTGTGACACAGAGTGTAGGTCTTAATGGGCCACTGGGCTGATCCAGCACAGCTTCTCTTATGTTCTTATGTTAATTAGTTGATATTCCCCCCTCCAGCTATATGTTTGCAGTCTAAAATCCCAATACTGAGCGATGGATTTCAGATGTATATGTAATAGCAACATGAGCCCACCATTTTCAGGATCCTGCCATTATATTAGTTATTTTTTGAGAGGGTCTAATTAGACAAGAGGCTGAGAACATCATCATCAGAACTTTCCAGTGTTTATTAAATAGAAATAGCCACTCAGAAATCTGGTTTGGACAGAAGCTATGACAAGAGTAGTGGGCTCTTTCACCCACATGGTTTCACCAGTAAAATCTGCTCACCTATAGACAAGTTGTTATTAGCCTTGGAGGGGTTCTTTGTTCCAAGGCCAACAGGGTGGGGGTTCAATTGATGCAGGAATGAAAAAGTTAGCTCTGTTTCTTTCCATTAATCCACATCTGAATTGGAGCCCTGCATGCTTGCTAGTTCTTTTTTTTTTTTTTTAAATGCTGGGATAATCTGATCTTGGGATCTCCCAGTGACTAATCGTAGTTAGGCCCTCAAGAGACACTCTGAGCTAAAAGGGGGGCACAGCTGCAGCACCACAGGCCTGTGTAGCATGAGAGGTATAAAGAGATAAGCAAAAGTCATTAATTTTCTTTTAGTTTTTCCACATCAAATCTTGTCCTGATGACGTAATCCAGTAGATCTGGAACCCAGTCCCGGAACAATACAGGGATCTTTACAGTTGAATACTTATAATAAACTTCCCGTTGGCGTAGGGCTCCCCCTTTAATGATTTCTAGGGCACATTCCTCCTTTGGTGCTGCTGGAAAAGAGCTGAACATACCAGAAGTAGCTTTCATAGCCGTGTCTGAGGGAACAGAAGGAACACAAATTAGTGGGTTCTTAAGGTTCGGGAATTTGGTGGAAAAGTGCTTGCTTGTACAGACCTCATAACTTTTTTTTTTTAAATCGTTTATTTTCATTTTTCATAAAACATAACAACATATCAAACATTTATCCTCAAGAATCCTCTCGGAGTCTTATCCATCTTGTTCCAACCATTCATACAAACGCTTCCATCTTTTTTCAAATACTTTATCATCTTTCCCTTTAAGAGTTAAGCTTAACTTATCTATTTCCGCCATTTCCAATAATTTACACACCAAGTCTTCTTTCTTCGGGATATAGTCCTGTTTCCAAAACTTAGCTAGCAAAATTCTTGCAGTAGTAAGAATTATCACAATAATATATTTATCTTTCCACCTGTAGGACTTTGGTAGCATATTTAATAACATTGTTTCCGGAGTTAGCTGCTTCGGAAAAAGATGGCGGCGGTCCGACGAACGACGGAGCTGTAGGCGAGCAGAGCTCCGGGAAACTACAACTTTGTTGTCTCTTAGACGGAGTTTAACATCTCAA